CTGCTGCTGCCTTCTATCTGCTGCAGTGGGTTGTTTTAGTTCAAGTATATGAAGCAAACCCAACCTCTTCCCTCCAGAAAAGGTTCTTGGCCATTTAACAGCTAAGAAAACTGTGGCATGGAGAAGTTATGATCATAGTACCTTCATCACAGGTTTGTGCTGGGAATTGAACAAGACAATGTGAAAAGAGAATGAAAAGTCATAGAAGAATGCCTGGCAAAAATCTGGCCCTGACAGATATTCTCCAGTGTTATGGTGGTTTCACGGGGACAGGCCTAAAAGGAGTAGACGAAGCAGGACCTCAGGAAGAGAGGAAAGAAATGCCTGCAGGCGGGCACTGGTGGGACCTGGGATGGGACTTAGAAACTGGCATTGTGAATTCAACAGGAGGGATCACAGAGGGACCCTTCATTTCCAGCGCAGTCAGCTGCTGGACCTAATTCACCTTAATGGCATGGTTCTCAGACTTATGAATTCAGAGCAAGTAAAATTGTCTCTCTACAGTAGATTGCACGAATGCCCCCGTAGGATAAATCCACTTCTGTTCAGCAATGATATGTCCAGTACAGTTGTTAATTCTTATAATGTGGGGATTGAATTGTAGAAAGGCAAAGGAAAGATAAAACTATGTACTGTTTGGATTAAGTGTAAATCCACTGCAGGCAATTGCAAAAGCCAAGGTTGGGGGGGGAAACATCTCTGACTACTTCTTGCAAAACCCACATAAAATTAGCTTCTTTCTTCAACCTTCCCCATCCCTTCTAAAGAAAGGTGGTTTTATTTCCTCTCAGTCAGTCACACATTGCCACTCTGCATTACCATCTCCAGTTGGGCAGAGGCCCAGGGACAGTCCAGTAGCGGGTCACTTGGTTTCAGTACCCTGCTTTTAGGAGAGTGAGCGGCTCCTGTAAACCATCTAAGGAGGGTCAACAGAACTGGGTTTTAAATGTTCTTGAGATGCACCAACCTCTCTGGATGGTCAGTCTATTTGATTGGAACAATCAGAAATGTTTTTTCTAGGGGCTCACCCATTTACCTCTATACATTATATCCATTTTCTCCCCAGAATTTGTCAAAGGAGGTGAACTTCCAGAAGGTTGTGGGATGGATGGGAATATCCTAGTTAAATCCATTCTTGGGCCTGCTGGAAAGACTGCTTTGGCAGACATGTCTGTAAAGATCTTTAACTCAGGAGGAAAAAGAAGCACCTCTAGATAATAAGGGACGTCTTCTTGGTGGAGTTTCCGTGTTTTCCTTTCAGAGCCCCTCACAAAGTCTCCGTTCTCTCTTGCGCTCCTGGAGGTGCTTAAACTAAGCAGATGGGGCCTCCTTTGTGGCCCCCTGTTTCTTCCAAACTGTTAGCTAATACGTGCAGAATCTTACACGTTGGGGGAAGGGGGGATTTGAATGAAAGGCCTTTTGTGGAAATCGTGTCACTCTTTGGTTGGCTGGAGCTGTTGAGGCTGCCCTGTTGAGTCTGTGTGCCTAGCGCTTGGCTGTCAGCATGGGCTGGCTGCGGTCATCACGTCAGGCCATAACCCTACAATTTAAGGTAGGGGCTCGCACCTCCCTGCCTCCAGGTGTGTAGGACGGCTGTCTCAGCTGACCAGGGTGAGCCATAAGTGATTCTGAGATCCTGTGCTTGGAAAAATGAACCTGGAAGGACAGTGAAATGGGCATTTCAAAGGGAGTGTGCAGAGAGCGTTCCCGAGCCTCTTGGTTTTCAGCTCAAAATGGATTTGAATGACAGCTGTGACTATGCTTTCTTAGGCTTTTCATTTCTGGTCCTAATAATAAGCACAAAATCTCACCAGAAAGTCTAAACAGTACAGAGGCTCCTCCCAAAGGCAAATCTCTCTCTCTCTCTCCCTCTCTCTCTGGGACTTCTAAAAAGGACAGGAATATAAGGTTGCTTTACCATTTTTAATTGAGCAGCTTTGTAATTGCAAGTGATTGCACTATTGGAGCAAGAAATGGTAGTTATCAGATGAGCTCCCTGAATATGTATTTTTTGAGTTGGGGAAAAGGTAGTATTCTTTTTTTATTTTTATTTTTTTACATCTTTATTGGAATATAATTGCTTTACAATGGTGTGTTAGTTTCTGCTTTATAACAAAGTGAATCAGTTATACGTATACATATGTTCCCATATCTCTTCCCTCTTGCGTCTCCCTCCCTCCCACCCTCCCTATCCCACCCCTCCAGGTGGTCACAAAGCACGGAGCTGATCTCCCTGTGCTATGCGGCTGCTTCCCATTAGCTATCTGATTTATATTTGGTAGTGTATATATGTCCATGCCACTCTCTCACTTTGTCACAGCTTACCCTTCCCCCTCCCCATATCCTCAGGTCCATTCTCTAGTAGGTCTGTGTCTTTATTCCCATCTTACCCCTAGGTTCTTCATAACCATTTTTTTTTCTTAGATTCCATATATATGTGTTATCATACGGTATTTGTTTTTCTCTTTCTGACTTACTTCACTCTGTATGACAGACTCTAGGTCCATCCACCTCACTACAAATAACTCAGTTTTGTTTCTTTTTATGGCTGACTAATATTCCATTGTATACATGTGTCACATCTTCTTTATCCATTCATCTATCGATGGACACTTAGGTTGCTTCCATGTCCTGGCTATTGTAAATAGAGCTGCAATGAACATTGTGGTACATGACTGTTTCTGAATTCTGGTTTTCTCAGGGTATATGCCCAGTAGTGGGACTGCTGGGTCGTATGGTAGTTCTGTTTGTAGTTTTTTAAGGAACCTCCATACTGTTCTCCATAGTGGCTGTATCAATTTACATTCCCACCAGCAGTGCAAGAGGGTTCCCTTTTCTCCACACCCTGTCCAGCATTTATTGTTTGTACATTTTTGGATGATGGCCATTCTGACTGGTGTGAGATGATATTTCATTGTAGTTTTGATTTGCATTTCTCTAATGATTAGTGGTATTGAGCATCCTTTCATGTGTTTGTTGGCAGTCTGTATATCTTCTTTGGAGAAATGTCTATTTAGGTCTTCTGCCCATTTTTGGATTGGGTTGTTTGTTTCTTTGATATTGAGCTGCATGAAGAGGTAGTATTCTAAAAAGGAATGTGTTCTCTTTTTTCTACTCAATTTTTGTTCTTTATTCCTTTTTTTTCCCTCACCCACTTTGCTTTTATCTACTTTTAAAATCCCTTTCCACACTCTGAAGTTTTTCTATTATAATTTATATCCTGCTTATTTATACAAAAATGTGTGAGATTGTTTACAGTATTATAACACATAAATCAGGAGAGTGAAGCCAAAAAAAAATTAGAGAGGGAGAGAGCACTATAGCAGGAACCTGAGTCCAGGGGGTGGGCTCGGGGAGCATTGTAGCAGGAACCACAGTCAAGCACTAAATTTGGACGTAAGCCTTCTAGGGGCAAAAACAGCATGAGGTGTTGAGTTGGAGTTCTTTTCTTTATTGAGGTGTAGTTGATTTACAATATGACATTAGTTTCAGGTGTACAACATAGTTATTTAAAAATTTTCTAGATTATACTTCATTTATTGTTCTTATAAAATATTGGCTGTATTCCCTGTGCTGTGCAATATATCCTTGTAGCTTATTTACTTTATACATAGTAGTTTGTACCTCTTAATCCCCTACCCCTGTCTTGCCCCTCTCCCCTTCCCTCCCCTGTCATTGATAACCACTAGTTTGTTCTCTATATCCATGAGTGTGTTTCTTTTTTGTTATATTCACTAGTTTGTTTTATCTTTTTAGATTCCACATATAAGTGGTAGCATACAGTATCTGTCTTTCTCTGCCTGAATTGTTTCACTTAGCATAATGCCCTCCAAGTCCATCCATGTTGTTGCAAATGGCAAAATTTCATTCTTGTTTGTGGCTGAGTAGTATTCCGTTATATATCTGTATGGAGTTCTTTTTAAAATCAGAAGAGCAGGTGGGTTTTTCTTCGTGTCTGTCACATTTCCTGTGCCAGCAGTCCCCATGTGTTTCTCAAGGATGAGCCTCCACCTAGCTCTCTTGTCACCCACTCCCCACCCCAGAAGCACCATGAGCTCTGCACATGACCCACAGGCAGGATCACAGACAGACCCAGGGCTTCCAGCTGATGTGAGGAAGTTGAGCCTTTCCGTTTCTTCCTGAAAGTTGAGTTCATTAGAGTTGGTCCAAAGGCTGATAAAGAGCTGGCCTCTGAGTCGGGACTAGTCGCCTTTCATCCTGGAGACTTGACGGTGATCAGGTGAACATCTGGTGGGACGTGGAGTGAAATCATAGGGGGTGCCCTACTGAGTAACGTCATCACACTGGGGAGGTGAAACACACCTTTCAGGACTGGGAGCCTCCTTCTTGAGAGAGCCTGGCTAAGGGGGTGTGTCTGACCTGCCTGGGTATCTTAAAGTGCTGGCAAGCGAGAAAGGATGTTTGGGTTCCCTGGAGGAATGAGAAAATGTGTTCTGTTTCTCCAAACATCAATAGTTTCAATAGGCATGGCTTTGGGAAGAGACAGTTGTCAGGGCTAAATACTTAGAGCAAAAGCAGTAAATAGGAGGCTGTACTGTCCAGTAGGCTAGCCACTAGCCACATGTGACCACTGAGCACTTGAAGTGTGGCCAAGTCCACACTGAGATGTGTGGGAACTGCAGAATACACACCAGATGGCAAACACTGGGGGAAAAAAGACTGTGAACTATCTTAGTAGCAATATTGTAATGGAAAATATCTCAATCCCTACTACTTGATTACATGTTGAAATGATAATATTGAGTATATTGGGTTAAATAAAATGTATTATTAAAGTTAATCTTACCCGTTGCTTTTCACTGCTTAATGTGGCCACTTGAACATTGAAAATTAGATGTGTGGCTCACATGGTATTTCTATGGGGACAGCTCTGGTCTAAATATCTAAAATTAAAAGATTTTTTTGTTTTTCTTCCTCAGGAGTGAATTTCCATTGTGTTCTCTAACTCCTGTGTTCTCTCTTTGGTTCTCTTTCAACAGATACGACTCTCCACGTAGCATGTCAAGGACTACATTAATCACCAATTCCTTTACTTTTTTTCCCTCCTACACAATTTCCATTTTCTTTTACACTTGCTCACCCCAGCCATCTGCAGTACACCAGTTTCAGATATTTGAGCTGTGTAGAGTTTCTGTGTACAGATGTGTGCTTGGACTTTTCTCTTCCCGAGAAATCTGAAGGGGGCGATTACAGAAGATCCACTTACTCCCGGGATCTGTTGCTGTGGCCCCGGACTCGGGGCATTGGGTGGTCCCTGGGTGGTCCTTGGAGACTCCTTCTCTGCAGCCACGTCCCAGCAAATACCATTCCCTGGAGGGGAACAACCAAGTGCCGTGGAGGCAGCAGCTTCTGCTTCGCCGCCGCAACTGTCTGGTTTCCTGTAAAATAAACACATTACTTTATATTTTTAGGGAACACAAAAGTGCTGCTATAGGGCGCAAAATTTTCATTCTGGACGCTTTTCCAATACAAATCACCCCAAAGACGCATTTTGAATATCCTGGTCGCATCTTTGGATCTGTAAAATGCACCTTTTAGTATGGCATCCGTTAAAATGCAAAGCAAATTTCTTCGAGGCAGAAAAACAATCTGACAGTAGCAATGTAGAAATTGTTCACTCAGACACATCTGTGTAAATGCGAAAAGTGATAGCATTCACCTCTGAGCTGCTTGCTATTGAACCTGCAGTGACTAGTCTCGGCCAGCCCAGGTAGAACATCATTCCTTCAGAAGTGTTGAAAATGCTGCAAAGTTGGATGAGTGGAAATGCGGCTGCCCCCCTCCTTGCTTCCTCTTCCCTCATCCTACTGGAGCTTGCATCAGGGATGGCCTCTTTCTCTACGGAACCATCTTGAGCCTGGTGGGGGTATTGCTGACGAAATCCAGGATCATTCCAGCAGTTGAAAAAGGAAGCCCTAGGGGGAAAGCAATTGACATATCTTTGTGCCTGTGAATAAGTTGCCATGAATAATGTGTTACATTAACCCATCCTTGCCGACCACTTAGTTGAGTTCTCTCCTTGGCATCAAATAGATAGGTTTCCTCTTAGGCAGAATTAGAAGAAATCGGTGTGGACGGATTTTTTACATTCGGCTACTGTTTTATTCAAATACATGAATCTAGAGCTGAATCAACTCTTATTTCCAGTTGTGCATATTAAAATGATCGGATTCCAAGTAGTAAAGTTTCAGGGAAACTGACAAGGATTCAATTAAGTTAGTCTTGTGTGCTGCTACTTGTTTTGATAAATTTGAGGGTTAACTACTTGTTTTGATAAGTTTGAGGGTTAAGTCAGTGATAACCAAACCAGTCTCAGTGAAAGCACCCATCCTATGGTTGTGTCAGCCCAGGATGAGTGAGCTGGTACTGTCCCTGCTGCTGTCACCACTGGAATGAAATTTTGCCAGAAGAGACGTTGCGCTTTCTCATTGCTGGTGGGTGAAAGATAGTTCAAGTGTGTGTGTGTGTGTGTGTGTGTGTGTGTGTGTGTGTGTCTGTGTGTGTCTGTGTGTGTCTGTGCGTTTGTGTCTGTGGATAAAGCACTAAAGACTGAATTGACTTCTAGACTTTTCTTGTATAAAATTTCCCTAACCAAGCAAAGCTGCTTTGACTTAATTTATTTGTTAAATGTTGCACTTTGTTTATGTGTGGGTTTTTTTTGGGGGGGGGCAGCTAGTAAGTAGAGAGAAGAGGACGAATTCTACTGACGTATTTATTTAGTAAAAATGACAATTTTGCATTCATTTACGTTTTAAAAATTCTGTCTGATTTTTTTTACATTGTTGCTAATGCTCGCCCAACATAACTGCTCCAATGCTATTTGCCGTCTGACAGAAGGATCCTTGTAGGGCAGGCTTTGCAAACCTTATCAGGTAATAACATACGCCATAGATGATAACCTTGCTGTTGAGATGTTTGCCTCTTATATTAGAAGTTAAAACCGGCCTTTGAGAGGATCGCCAAATAATAAATTGTCATACCACTGCTGTCTGTTATGCAACTGTGTAATAACTCCATAGTTGGAAATTGAACAAAGGTTAGGCATTCTTTCCTTCAGGCTCTCTTGTTAACAGATTATTTTAGATTTTTTCCGAAGTAAGTTTTCCCTGGGCACCCCTTTTCTAATTCTAAAGAAGTGTTTGGCCCTTTCATGTTTCAAAAAGAAACATTCGCTTGTAGTTCCATATTTCTTGATCTCTATAAGGGACTCACAAAATTCAGTTTCCTTTTATTCACAGAGAAAGTTGGCTTTGATGTCTCTTAAAGATAATTCTGCTAGCTGCTGATCAGCCAGTCAGTTCACCTAGCTTCAGTCTTTATAGGACCTCTAAACTAATTTTCCTACACTGTGACTGAAAGGTAGGCAGATCGTGGGAATGGATTATACGGTATATTCAAATGGATCTCTAATATTACTTTGTCTAATAAGGTAATATCAGGACCACATATTCTGTAGGCCTCTTTTGTTAAAAGCCACATTTATGCAGTTTTCACTTTTTTAGGCTATTGTTCCTTTACATTTGTACTCCAGGCGTAAAAACCACACTTGTGAATGGCTGAGCCTATGATTATACTTTCGGTTGTATGCTGCTTTTTACTAGTGTGTGTGTGCTTGTGTGTGTGTGTTTCTCCTCTCTGAATCATTTTATATTTCGTGCTACTTCTTGAAAGTTTACTCTTTGATGCTGAAAGGGAATAACCAGATGATTTCTAAAAATAATGTCTCCCTGCAGGATGGTGGCTTGTTAAATTAGAGGAATGCTGTTTGCTATATCAACATGTATGGTCAGAGGCTAAAATATATTAACGCCAAGTGTGTTTTGGTCAATAACTGGAGAATTCTGTTTAAATGCATCATCTCTTCCAACGTTTTACAGTTTGCCATGTGGAATGGCAGGTAGTAGGGAGAAAAATAAGTGTGGATTAAGACTTTTAAAGGAAATAGTTTCATATGATTAAGAAAATTAGAATTCGTAGAAATACTGGGATAAGTGAAGAAATAAAAACGTCTGTCTAGAATGTAGCACCTAGAGAGTTTTTGGAAGCCCTACCTTCACATGAGGGCGTGATATTCCTATCCAAAGCCAGACTAAGCCATCAGCAGGACGCATGGGGGGATTATTACCTCTCCTTTCCTAGAGGAATAACCGAAAGCAAATAAAAATTCTTAACAGTCCCCTCTTTGAAGTGTATTTTTTAAGCAAGGTGGAAAACATTTAGACTCTGGCTTTATGACACATTAGGGAAGTTGTTTGTTGGCAGGGGGCAGGAGGCGGGGGACCCGGAGGATTTCACTTATAGATTGTCTCACCCGCATATTGTGAGCAAGCTAAAGGAACCATCCCACTCTAAAATGCCTTCATTGAACAATAACAGTTTATAGACTTTTTAGAAAGTATTGAATAAGGGTCAGGGAACAGCCGAAGGCAGTACCGCTCCGTGAAGTCTGCTTACACATTTACTAATTGTCCATCAGTTTAAAATACTTTTCACCGTGTGCAGATATAAGGGGAATAGGGCACTCTGTAGAATGATACATGTCTAGTTTGTAAAGTATGTCGTGTGTACTGCAGATGTATGTTCTCTGGGCTTTGTGTATCTGTACAGTAGCTTTCATTAAAACAAAATTGTGGACTAACTTGTTTTGGTGGTGTGAGGGGGAGAAGGGCCGTTTATATCAAGTAACGATGCTGTAATATAGTACATGTAACAGAAGATCTGGAGTAACCCTTCCCTGGCCCGTGGAAAATTTTGGTGATCTTCTAGGTTCTGAAATGAAGATGTATGGATATTCTGGCGGACTGCATGTTGTATAATTTGAAAAATACTAAAAGTGGAAAATAAAATTGAATTAAACTTTGGCTGGTCTGTTTTTTCTTAGAGTCATCTTAAAGGCACTCTCCTTGAAGGCCTCAATGCCATTGTGAGGACGGGCCTTTTTCTGGCCTTGAAGGAGTTCATTTCAGTGAGCAGCTGCTTGAATTCAAAGCCTGAGCAAGGTCAACCGTGACCTTTCTGTCTTTTACTTTGCTCAAATATCTGTATTTAAATTTTTCCTTCATTGAGGACCCAAGAAAACCTGACATTTGTTCCTTCAGCACTGAAAAGACAGCCGCCTATGTCAATAAGTGTCTTAACTTTTTAAAAAGTAGGATCGAGTTAAGGTGCAATAGACCAGTGTATTAGCTGAATTTCTGAATTTCTTCTTGTCCAAGAAAGGCACTTATTCTAATAATATGTTTTAGCTCATTGGCCTTCTCCAACTAATGCCTTGGACCTCTGCGTATATTGAAAGGTTATTGGCATCTTTTGAGAAGTGTTGGGGTGTTTGTATTCCTGTTTAACTTACTGATTATTGCTATTAACGTACAGGTCTGAGATCTTGTGAGAGGATGCCAGAGTGTGAAGCCGTTGGAGAATAACAAATGGCGGGACACAGGATTACTTTTATCTGCTCTCTTAGCAAGGAGACTTCCCTGCCTCAGGTCACTGAAATCCTGTGGCCACGCACGGCCTTGTGTATGTAAAACACCCTCATTCTGGTTCTTGGTTTGGTTAATGTTGCATGGGAGCCAGACAGGAGACTGCCGGCATCAATTAAAAGTGGAAAGATGGATGCCGAATAAAGATTTTATAAGTGGAGTTGAGGACACTGCAAATCATGTGCTTTTATGATGTCTTATCCATCTCCTCGAATTTGTTATTCTCCAAAGAACTTGGAAGAGGCAGTTACCAAATATCAGATTGTTAAAGGTGACTTAGGTAGTAAAACTTCAAACATCGTGGGTGAATATTTAGGCTGAAGCCTGTTTATTTAAGACGGGAAAGCAGTCTTTTGAAAGGACCTGATGACAAAGCACATTTCAGTATCACTGAGAAGTGACCCTATAGGTTCCAGGAGAAGCAGCTCTGCAGTGCAGTAGGTCTGCACTAGCACCCACTGTTCCCCGGGTTCCTGTGAGCCTTTCCTGAGGTTTCCTGTTCTATTGAGCTCTGAACGGTGCTCGGGCTACGCCTTGGAAGTACTACAGAGCTAGAGCAACTGTGGTAGAATGTGGAATGGAAGCTATAATCTGCCGAGGCAATTACCGGTGATGTGTGTATTTGCAGGTTTAATTCTAGCATTTGTGACAGGTTATATCTTGTGATTTGTCTCATGTACATGATAAATTGAACAGGAGTGGGAGGGATCTCTCGGGTGACACATCAGATGAAAATATGTGGGCTCACTTGACAAATGCATCCTGAGCCATGGGATTTTTACTTTTTGGCGTTTGGTGGTTCTTCAGCCAATCTGCAGAGAAAACACCGATTTCTGTGTGGTTAGCTGGGCTCAGAATAAAAGACTTGCAGGTAATCCCTGGGGATCTTTCCACTTGTGATGCACCATGGATGCAAAGGCTGGACTCCTCCACCTGCTTTGCTTCCCCAGCGCTGAAGGAGGTTCTGTTTGGAGCCCCTCTCTCTGGGACCCTTCAGACCCTCGCTCCTCCACGTGATCAGACTGCAAATCATTCCCCTACGATAGCTTTTCAAAAAATTCACCTGAAAAGATATGTTACTCCTTCAGAATGTATACCCAAAATGAGAGAAATTGGCAAACTTGCTCCCGATGACGTGTACCAGCACCAGAACCTCGTAACGCTTGGAAAGCTGCAGTAGGCAGTGCATTAAGGTGAGAGACTATCCTGGCGGTGTGCCAGACACTGTATTACGTGCTTTACATGTATTAGTCCATCTAATCCTCCTAATAACTCCATGAGGTAGGCACCATTATCTCCACTTTAGCAGGGAGTAAACGGGCACAGAGAGGTTAGTTAACTTGCCCAAGGTCTCACAGCTGGGAGGAGAAGCCAAGATTGAAACCCGGGAAGACCGGTCCTAAGGTGTGTGCTCTCCACAGCTAGTAACACTGCTGCTCAGAACAGTGCTGCGTGTGTGTGTGTGTGTGTGTGTGTGTGTGTGTGTGTAGTGATAACCAGCAAGCAGCCTCAAAAATCCTTTTGTAAAGAATTCATACAAAGTGTTCTTCCTTTGCAACTTTTCTGTGTTTTCCCCTTTCATAGGAATCCGAGACCTTGTTTTTTGAATTACTTTAAGCAATCAAAAGCATCTAGGGAAGAATCATCGAAATAATAAGAGATGCCTCACAGCGGGGGGGCCTGACAACATACAACTGCAGGGCTTCTGGAGGAAGGCTGCCTGCAGGAGCGCAGTGCTTAGAATCTTTTTCGTACATAGTGGACACTTAGAAAGTGCAGCAGTCACTTGTGTCACGGGTTTCAAACTGTGTGTAGTAAGAATTTCACTTATCCATGTTGACGTTTTTTCCTCTTTAGGACACTAATTTTCTCTGCTTGCATTTTAAAATGTATAACCTATATTCCTCAGTTTCTCAAGCTAAAAATAAAGCAGGGTTTTCTTGTCCCAGCTGAGCCGGCTCTAAGGGAGAGTCTGAGGGGGCACTGGGTGCCCTTATCCCACCCAGATCTGTGTGAGGCCTCGGAGAAGACTCTCAGGGAGCTGTGCTGATAATAGCTGCCCCGTACCTAACCTCCAGCCCTGTCATAATGATTAATAGGATCTCACTTTAGTGCTTTAAGTTTTAGAAAAAGTAAACATGCCAATCATACCACACATGCATGTGCACGTCCAACTACAGAAAGGGGCAGGAACAGCACAAGTGGGGTTCGCCCTGAGCCCCCCACTTTACTGCAGACTCCCATTACCTGTGCTTCACCTGTCTGAGGATGCTTCTGATGGGCTACTGCAGGGTTGGGAAGGACAGGCTGGTAGTAGGTGTGTCTAGGTCACGGGATGCTAATTCCTTCAGCTAGTGGCAACCTGGCTGCCTGCAAGCCAGACCCCAACCAGCAGCCCAGGCGTCCTTGCTGCCCTGCAATGCCCCCTTCTGGGACATGTACACAGCGGCAAGATACCCCTGGAGCACTGGCCATCAAGCAGTGATGCTACTCAGTCATCCTAAATGGAAAGAATGATGGACTTGGGACCTGGATCTGACTCTTCTTACTTCCCATGGACCAACTGTGGGATGTGGTCAAGTTGTTTACCTGTGTAGCATCTCGATGACCTCATCTCCATACCTGAATTACGGAGATTTGTAGCCCACTGTCCTCCGCCCTTCGGTTTGTTGTTAGGATCAGATGAGAAATTGTGTGCAAGCATCTTATAAAAGTGCTACTCAAATGTAAGGATTGTTAGGTTGAAAAATGAAATTCAACGGACTAAATCTTAAAGATTTTATTTGGCTTTATTCAGTGATTCATGAATTGGGCAGCATCCAATCTAGCAGATAGAAAGAAGCTCCGAGGAGCTGTACAAAATGAAAGACTATTATAGGCAGGAACAAAGAGGCAAAAAGCAGGTTGGTTATTGCAAGGTCGGTTTCCTTTAGGGAATGTCAGGGGTCTGTAAGGCAGATGACCTAACCAGCGCCTATCAGGCGATTTCCTATTGCCTGGTTTAAGATTCCATTTCTGGGAGAGCCGAACCTGTAATTCAGTCTCGTCTCGGTTTGGTGACATTGGGGCTTAGCATAAGTGATTCCATTTGGGGCCTGTTGCCTTGTTTTTTTTTTTGTTTTTTGCGGTACGCGGGCCTCTCACTGTTGTGGCCTCTCCCGTTGCGGAGCACAGGCTCCGGACGTGCAGGCTCAGCGGCCATGGCTCACGGGCCCAGCCGCTCCGCGGCATGTAGGATCTTCCCGGACCGGGCACGAACCCGTGTCCCCTGCATCGGCAGACGGACTCTCAACCACTGCGCCACCAGGGAAGCCCTGTTGCCTTGTTTTTAATAGTTATTATCAAATACTTCCCAGGAGCAGGTGTTTTTGCCTTGGACCCCAGCTATACCTTCACTTAGCATCACAGATACTTAGAGTAAGAGAGAAGGCTGTGAGGAGACCCCAGGAGTCATCTAATTCTACCAGTGAAATGGAATTTCACTGGACCTCTCCATTTAGGGTCCTCCCTCTTCCCACTGCTCCACCCTCTTCTTTGGGGGAAAGTCTGCTCTTAGGCTGTTTCATGGGGAGAGAAAATGCTCCCTCCTGAGAACTGCAGTGAGCAGTGTTTAGGGCTAGTTTCCACCTCTGTGCCTGGTGGCTGTTCATACTGAGGGCTCCCGCAAATGCTCCCCACTCAATGCCCTGACGCTAGTCATGAATCAAGTCTATTCAGATTCCCAATAATTACAGCTAGTGCTGAGAGCCTACAGCCCAGCAGCATCTTTGTAGGAGCTTAACAAGTCCCCCAAGGTGAGCTCAGGGATGCTCAAGGAGTCATTTAGCCAAGCCGGAACACAAAAGCACACTCAGCATCTGGAAACAAGCTGTCTGCTCCCTCTACTAGAAAGTGCCTGGGATCCGAAAGCTCCCCTCCTGCCACCACATGCACTAGAGGCAGGAACTGACTGCACAGTGCAGGCCAGGTCTGCTCTCTGTGTGTGGCCTGCCGCTTATAAACAGGAGAGGGCTGTGGCCAAGGCCTCTGCTTTATACCCACCTCCTTGCAGACCTTACACCCAGGAGAAAACCAAAATCCCCAGAGTTCAAGTAACTTGTCCGAGGTCACGTGGTTTGTTTGGGCTCTAGAGCTCCGATTCCTTTCTATTTCAGTCCTCTGCATGCCAATGCAGGGGACACGGGTTTGAGCCCTGGTCCGCGAAGATCCCACATGCCGCGGAGCAACTAACCCTGTGAGCCACAACTACTGAGGCTGTGTGCCACGACTACTGAAGCCCACGTGCCTACAGCCCATGCTCCTCAACGAGAGAAGCCACTGCAACGAGAAGCCTGCGCACCGCAATGAAAGAGCAGCCCCTGCTCGTCACAACTAGAGAA